GAAGAGAAGAAGAAGAAGAACTCAAAGAAATTTGTCTTGTTCTCAGTGAATTGATGAATGTTTCTGTTGAGATGTTCGTTTCTTCTTAACGATATTTATCTGATCAGTGCACAAACGATTTTGTATTGTATTGTAAGTGAGTGAGTATTCAGTGATGACATTCAACACTGAAATATTAACGATTCATTCAAATAAACCTCCACAGAGTGACTGTCTCGTGCCTGTCTCAACTACTATACCTGTGCCATACGTACCTGTATTATACTCATAATACACCTGTATATAGCACACCACCACCACCTACCAAATGCATGCCATGCCACTCTATAAAGAGACACAGCAACATTCATTTTTTGCGGTCATAAACGAACAACCAACCAACCAAATGCACAAACAAAACATTTCAAAGCAAACTGATCCTTCTTCATTCAATCAGTGCTCTAAGTCGTCGTTGCATTATTGAATCGACTTCAAAATTTTTCTTCTTTCCATAAGGTCATCACAACGATGCTCTCTTTACGACATTCCATCACAACACCATAAAATTTCATAGCATACTTATAAGAGCGTACTGCAATGAATGTACTAATTTAGAATGTGTGATGAAACGTCGCGTTGCTTGTATTGTAGCATCTCTTGTGGGAATTACTGCTAATATCATACCTATTAAGTGTTACTATTACTTTGTAGTAATACACGAAACAACTGTTGCTTGTTATAGTATTACTGCAAAGTAGAGTTAGTTGTGTGTGCAGTATTGCGCATCCTTAACAATTAACTCATCTTTAAACAGTAACAGCAAAAACTGTAACATCAATCTCAGAAGCAATAATACATATTACAAAATACAATAGCATGTTGATGACATTTCAGTGAAATATTTCAAAATGTTTTCGTAATGATTGATACAGTGACCATCAATCACCACAATAATGACAGTAACAAAGACTCATAGTATACCATATGGAATATAGAAATACCCACTCCTCTTTGCATTCTACCTTCTCGAAGAGATCTTTTCAAAGAGAGATGAATGCGTTCTTACAAATTTCTCAGATTTCCATTCGTGCAAATTTAGTTTGCAAATGAGANTATGAGATTTCCTCAATGCACAGACTGAATTTAAAATCAGAACCAAAAAATTTTGTACTTTTCATTCCGTTTTCGAAAATTGCCTTCCATCTTTAGATTGATACATTTCCTCGTTGTTAAAATGAAATCAATGACATAAAACAATCATAACAATTCAATAGAGTTTAGTAGAACAATAACAATAGTGATGATAACAACACTTTCATTATGATATATAACATATGAACAAAAATCCATCATAATGCCAAAATCAAACAAAACAAGAACGTCAATTCGTTTCCATGTGCTGCTCCTCCTCTTTGATCTCATCTGCAACTGGTTGTTTCTGGCTGACCGGTGCCCTAATAAGATGTGCCTTTTTNAAAAATCATTCAGAAATCAATCACTCCCAACAAAATTCGAAACTTTCAAATCAACAACACGATTCATCATCTTCAAATCAACACCATATAGAAAAGCAGTGAGAGATTCAACGAGCTAATAACACTGACCAGCCTCTTTCCAGTGTTCGCGTTCATACTTCAACGGCTCGTTCTGTCGCATCTCAGCTATAGCCGTGCTATCACCGCGCAGTTCCTTACCTCGAACCATTCTCGACGCCTTTGTCCATTTCGTTTTACGTGGATTACGCTTCTTTTTGAAGAGTTTATGGCATTTGGAACGACAAAATCGAAACACCTGACGTAATATTAATAATAATGACATGATATTACCACATAGCAATTATTATTGAATATAATAAACACTGAACAAGCTTACATTACAGTCGTTCCGAACGAATGTGATCCCATGTCCAGGATATATATTCGATGAACAAAAGTAACACTTTTCTATCCTCATTGCCCTCAATATAAACCCTAAAACATGTTGTTTTTAAACGAATACATCAGCACTTAAAGCAATTCAAACAGCATTAC